TCTGCCCTTCTGGTAAATCTAGTCAGCCAGAGGTCCCTGTTCCAGGAGGATCAGCTGTTCCTCATCTACGGCAATCCATTGTCAGTATTCCTTTGGATAGAATTGGGGTCTGCTGTTCATGTTTCCAGTAGTATGTTGGGTTACTGTCTGGAAGAGCCTTTATCTATCCAGGGCCAGGAATTTTTAAAGTACTCAACATAGCTACTTTAACTTTCTACACCATTCTTCTCCCCTTAAAGCTGTCATCTACAGTTATCTAATATACTAAAAATCATGACTGTATTTTCATGTTGGGGTCTCTAAGGTATTCCCTCCTAGGTTCATTTACATTCTTCTATTTTCAAAAATGTGTTCTAGTTCTTGGTATTTGGTGTCTGTACCAATAATTAATCAAGAACCCAGCAATGAATCTCTGCTTTTCCATTGTGTTACTTATTTTGTCATTGCTGTGACAAATACTCGACAAGGAAAGTTTCCTTCAGCTCACAGTTTGAGGGTACAGTGTGCCATGGCAGCTGGTCACACCAAATCTGCAGTCAGGAGGCAGTCATGAATGCTTAGTGCTCAGCTGGGTAACAATTTATTCAGCCTAGGACTCCAGCCCGTGGGATGGTGCCACCCATATTTAGAGTGGGTCTTCCCACCTCAATTAACCTAACCTAGAAAAAGGTTTGACTTCATGTTGAGTCTAACCCATCAAGTTGACACTCAAGATTAACTATCATCCCCATCCATCAGGATATACTAAGAGCAAGTAGACACCAGACAACATACAATAAGAAAGAAACCTTATCATTAAAAGAGAAATTGCCGGGCATGGTGGCACATGCCTTTAATCCCAGCACTTGGGAGGCAGAGGCAGGTGGATCTTTGTGAGTTCGGAATGCATTCCAAGAAGTCATATTGATACTTTATTGTAAGTATCAAGGTATCAGCAAACACTATAGAAATAGTTGACTGTCAATTGGAGGCCAGTTTGATCTACATAGGTAGTTCCAGACCAATCTGGGCAGTGAGCCCTATTTAAAAAAAACAAAAAAAAAAAAAAAAAAAGGAGAGAAATAAATTTTCACAACGGTCCAGAAATAAGTTCTACCAATTTGCCAGATTTAATATTTATATTTAAATATTTCTATTTTTAATTTTTTATTTATTTTTACTTTATGTAGATGAGTGTTTTGCTTGCATGTATGTAAGTGTACCCATGGCATGCAATGCCCACAGAGGCCAGAGGAGGGCACTGATCCCCTGGAACTGGAGTTAGGGATGGTTGTTAGTTGCCATGTGGGTCTGGGAACAAAACCTAGCTCCTCTGCAAGAGCAGCAAGTGCTCTTAACTGCTGAATCATTTCTCTAGGCCCTATTTCTATATTTTTTAATTATTACCATATTTTTTAAAACAAAAATGTAAAAAGGAGGGTGGAGTTCGAGAGATGAGTCAGTGGCTAAGAGTGTCTGCTGTGAAAGCATGGAGGACCTGAATTCAGACCTCAGCAATCATGTAAAAAAGCTGGGCATGGCCCACGCTATAACCCCAATGCTGTGGGAGACAGAGAAAGGGTCACTAGGACTTGCTGGCTGCTAGCATAGCTCTACATTCAGGGAAATATCTTGTTTCAAGGGAATAATACAAAGAATGATAGAGTAAGGTACCTGACGTTTCCCTTTGACCTCCATGTGAACACAGGCATGTATACCATATGCGTATATACCATAGTCACATATATATATACATACATAAAAGCAAAGCATTAGTTCTGTAATCTCCTTTTGATCTAAAGAAAAAAATCTGTTTAAAATACAAATTCCATTGCAGCCATCTTCTTTTAATACCAAAGTCAAATCTTAATAGGGAAGAAATGAGGTATGTGATCCCTTGAAGAAGGGACAACCACTATGTGATTGGAAAATCAGCAGGGGCCTGGATAGGACAGGACCTGTCTTTTCAATTGCTTTTTTTATTTTTTTATTTTTTGATATAATAGCTTGTTCATTAATTCAAAACCAATAATAAGAACTTCATCTACAGTAAGGGGAAAAAGGAAAGGTGTGACCAGACTTAGCAGAAGGAGGTTCAGCCCAATTTTTATAGTTCTATATCAACTAGGAAAGTAAAAGAATTATTCCATATATGTAAGGACTCAACCTAGAGTTTCCAAGTTGAAACTAAGAAAAGTGGCCACTGCCAAGCCCCAGGGAACTTGCACATATTGCTTTCTCTACTCTTTCAAGAATTCAGAGTATTCAGTGCGTTTATCTAGATCCCATGTAGGCTAGGCTGGCCCACAGTTTAGAAGAGACTTATGCGTGCTGTCTCAGAGCTTCCCATCACTGTCCTAGAGAGGCTTACCCATGCTCATTTTGATAGGCAGGTTTTCTCTGCTTGCTGCTTCCACTAGATGTCTCCGGACTTCCATCACCGCCTCTTTGTGCTTAGTGTTCAGCAAGGCTTCCCATAGGGTTTTGGCTGAGATGTCACTGCAGTGGAACCACAAAACACTTTAGAATAAATTTTTACTGTGAAATGGAAAGGACTGAAAGAAAAAAACATTTAAATATCTTTTTTTTGAGAACTAATATAGTCTTTCTGACTGAAAGACTTCTTTTATTATTATTTTTATTTTATGTATTGCTTGCATCTGTGTAGTGCGCCCATGTTGTGCAATGCCCACGGAGGTCAGAAAAGGGTGTCGTTGGATTCCTGGAACTAGAGCTATGGATGGTTGTTAGCCTCCACGTGAGTGCTGGGAATCAAACCCAGGTACTCTGCAAGAGCAGTCAGTGTTCTTAACCACAGTGCCATCTCTCCAGCCCCCCCCCCCCCCCCCCCCCCCCCCGCCGCACTGATAGATTTCTAAGTATTAAGACTCAATAAAAGAATATCTAATTTATTTCATTGACATAAAGTATTGAGAAATTAAGGGGATAAAAAAATCAAGACATAAGAGGGGAAGAAAAGCTACACTGTTCCATGAAAAGTATGAGAAAAATTATGTGGGTGTTTTTTTTTTTTTTTTTTTGAGATTCTGCACTTAAAAGCAGTTCAGAATGCAATTCATTTGTAAAGTAACATGAAAGAAGCCAAAATTAAATGTATGTCCAAAAATAATTCATCAGTAGCACAAGCAGTATGTTAACTTGAGACAGCATATTTGTCTGAGAAACACAAAGCATGCCATGATAATTCCCATAGAGAAACACTCAATGGACTTTCTGATCAGTGAGTGGGCTTCCTACTGAGTAGGAATGAGAGCTTGCACTCAGGAGCAGGGCCTGAAGTATTCCACTCAAGGCCTTCAGTTGGAAGGATGGCACTTAGGGAAGCCTTCAAAATCAACTGTTAATAACAGACCCAAGCACTGCATTATGCAGGAGCTTATCTGGGTTCACTTCCCCAGTAGCTCTCTGTCTCACCCACCATGCCAAGTCCCAATTATAAATGAGTACAGTGTTCTTTCTGGAAAATCACTGCCATGTAGCCAACTATACACATTTGTAGTAACATTTCAAAACTGAACATAAAGGAAACAAGGGTGACTTCTGTTCCTTCCTAAGGACATCGTCCTCTACTTAATCCCCCCTAATGCTTCTTCTATTATGCAGTTAACATCAGCTTGAAAATGAGTGCATTTTTAAATTTAGTTTTAAAATTAAAATTAAGTTAGTTTTAAAGCTATACCTATTAAGATCATCATTCAAGTTTGAGTTTGATCTGGAATAATGAAATTTTGTACTTTAGCACCAATGTGAATGCTTGACACTAATCTCTCAATAAATAGTAATAGCTCTTATTATCATATATTTTTCCTTAGTGAACTGGAACCTCTAAACTTTTAAAAATTATAACTCCTATGATAGTTAATCTTGGCTAGCAACTTGACTGATTAAGAGATACCAAGAAAATTGATAAGGCGCTTCTGAGTGTATCTGTAGGATGTTTCCAGAGATGACTGGCATAGGGGTCAGTGAACCAAGGGGAGAAGACCTCACCTGAATATGAGCTGTTGTCCAATAGGTTGGGACTCTGGATGGGACCAAAAGCGAATAAAGGAATAAAATGGACAAGGGGCAGGATGGAGGGGGATGGATGACCCCCAGGCCTGTGATTGATTCTCAAGTAGGCATTCTTTTGCTGATGCCACTGCTTCAGACACCAGACTCCAAATTCCTCTGATTTTGAATGCAAACTCACATCAAAGACTTACAGGGAACTTTCAGGACTTCATCTGTGGCCTAGGGCTAAGCCTTGCCCAACCCTACTACTTGTTCTAAGGTCTCCAGCATCTTGGACTGAGCAGCTATCTCTAGCTTTCCTGCCTGCACACAGCTATTGTGGCACTACCCAGTCTCTTGACTCCATACACCATTTTTATATTAAATATTGTCTTTGTGTGTGTGTGGCCCTCTAGAGAACCCTAAGAGAATTCTGTACCTATTATTCTTATTTAATTAATGAACAAGTAAGTTACAAGGTAATTCTAGTTTGCTTCTCTGTTGCTATGACAAAACACTGAACCAAAGATACTTGGAAAAGAAAGAGTTTATTTCATCTTACAACTTCCAATCCAAGGCAGGAACTCAGAGATCCTGGAGGAACACTTTGTACTGGGCTTGCTCAGCTACTTTTCTTTTATAGCCCAGGCCCACCTGCCCAAGGATGGCACTGCCCACAGTAGGCTAGGCCCTTCTACATTAATCAGCAATCAAGAAAATGCCCCATAGACAGGTCCACAGGCCAATCTGATGGTGGTAATTTTGTGGGAATGGGTCTCAGACACCATCTCAGCTCATTTACACTATAAAGAAGCTTACTAGGCCTAGGGCTCCTCTTGTAACCCAAACACATAGTTTTAATCCCTCATGACTCTTCCTTACCCTTGACCCAGAATAATGTAAGTATATGGCATATATGTGTTGAGAAAATACCAAGTGCTGAAAGCAGCAACAAAGTATCCCGTTTGTGCTGAAAACAGCAGATGGGATTATATTGATACCTGTTTGTGGTTAAGTGTGCTGTTCTATGTCAGTAAGGGGTCAGAAAGGACATAATCCTCTAAATTCCTTTTTTCCATGTGATGCTGGATGTACAGTTTCAATGAAGAGAGAACAAGGCCTTTGTTCAGAAGCACAATTCTGGGAGAAATCTGAAGGAACAAGTTCTCAGAACAGTTTGGTTCTTCCTCTTTATTGAAATGGATGCTGAGAGTCATCCACTTCAGGCATCACTGTAATGTGGCATCACACCACTGCACAATTTCAGTGCACAGTTGAGGTTCCCTTTTCCCAGGTGCCTCTAGTTTGTGTCAAGTTGACAAAAACTAAACAACACATATGGCATGCTCTATATTTGGCAGGCATATAGATAAAACAAACTTTCAATGATATATTCTGGAAGGTCACATGTATACTATACAAGAAAAAACTACAAAGAAGTGTGAGATGTGTTATAATCAATGGTTGATAGGTTTCTGTGCAAATATAGTCTTGTCTGGGAGGATAGGGACTGAGGGAATAATTTCTGCTGGAAACAGTGAGCTAGTACAAAGAAACATAATCTCTAAAAGCAGCCAAAGGAAGAAGTTATAATTCAACTTAGGGGAAAAAATGGTTACGGCAGCTTAAAGGAAAATATAAAATAATAATCACAAAACAAAAGAAAGTAGGGCATTTCACAATGTACAATGTCCTAATTATAAGACACCTTGTACCTTTTTGCTCCTTGCTAAAGATGCAAAGGGAAGGGTGGTAAATAAGAGCAAATGCAGTATCATAATTCAAAAATAGTCTATTTGCTATGGGTTTTTCATAAAAACACCTAATTTCTCTAAATCCTGGAATGCAACTGGAAACCACTGAAGAATTCTGAGCAGGGAAGCTATACTCCCCATTTCCTAGACTTATGGTCCACCATCATGTCTTACCTTATTCCCTCAAAAGCACTTCTGCCCAAATCCCAGAAGTTCTCTCACTCTCAACACAGAACTTCCAGAACAGAATATCACTAACCTCTTCCTTTCCATGAGAATATACATCCCATTAACACAGTATGTCTCCAAGAGCATTATGGATTAGCTAGTGTTGTGATTTCCCCATAGAGCTTACCGTAGTAATTAAAATGCATGTTCAGAGTCAGATGAATTTATGCTGAAACTCCAACATTCTCCCATCACCCACTCCAAATGCATGGCCTCCTGAACCTTCCTTTTAAGCACAGGGACTTCTTCCCCTTCTTGGTCAGGAACATTCTTCCTACAAACATCCCTCTCCTCCCTCTCTCTCTTCCCAAACGTCACCTTATTAGAGAGGCCCATCAATTCCTTGTATAACAGAGTGATGAAGTCCATACCTGTAACTTACCCTCTTCTACCTCCTTATTGGACTTTACTGTCCTACATGATCTTTATACACAATTGACATATATGTTTCCATGTTAAATTGTTACACATCTCACTCATGAAAGTGGATTACTTCTATGAAAGCAGAGATGTCTTTGACTCATTGCTAATTCCTCATCATTTAGAATGTACCAGGTTTGGGGTAGAATTACTCAATAAACATTAAGTAAATTATACTACAAGTGGTATAATTTTGTCCATATAATTAATTCTCTACTTTTCTTGGTTTTCTCACTTATAAATGACTTCAAAGGACTGTTATAAGGATAAAATACAAGAATTTTCATACAGCCCTTCTCTGACTCACTTAATTCAAGCAGTTGTGTTGTTACTTCATTTCTACTGAAAAAAATGTCTTTAGGTCACTATGTTCAAGTGTTTACTCTAGGACAAATTCGTGTAATTATCAAGCATTTTACTCAGAAATTCCTGATAATGTACAATGACACAGGGTTGGTACTCTCTGGCTCTGGTCTATTAAAACACATTAGGTTGGGTACAGTGGCACATGCCTTTAGCCCCAGCACTTAGAAGGCAGAGGCAGGGCGATCTCTCTGAGACTGAGGCCAGCCTGGTCTCCATAGAGAGTTCCAGGCCAGCTGTGGCTACAAGGAGACCCTGTCTTAAAAAGACAAAAACTGAAATTTGTTTAAAAAAAAAAAAAAAAAAAAAAAAAAAAAAAAAGAAGAAAAAAAAAAAGCACATTAGAAGAAATACATAGTTTCCAAGAGTTCTAACACTGACATATAGGTCATGTGTTTCTTGAAAACCGTTTCGTTGATATAAACAATTCTGATATGCCTGATTCCCCAATGTCTATTTCCTGGTGGTTGTTGTTTTAATTTTATTTAGGAGTCAGGTGAGATGTGGGATATGCATGTGCATGTGGGCACATGCATGCATGAGCATTCATGTAGAGGTCAGAAGGCAACTTTCAGGAGTTGGTTCTTTTCTTCCACTGATCTGGGGATCAAACTCAGGTTATCAGACCTGGGCAGCAATAACCTTTACACACTGAGCCATCTCACCAGTCACCTGGAGAGATGGCTCAGCAGTTAAGAACACTGACTGCTCTTGTAGAAG